CCCCAAAACCCCAAAACCCCAAAACCCCAAAACCCCAAAACCCCTTTTCCACTTCAAAAGGTTGAATTTCTGGATGTTTGTAAATAATAAATGAAATTTATTGCAATACTTTTACTTATCGTGGTGGCCCTTGCAAAGACCGACGGGACCATTAAGAGATACCTACAGGAAGATAGCACTGGGCTCTATGGTGAGCTTGAGATCCAGGCTGGTGACGATGGTGGTCATGATTATGGCCATGATGACGATCACGGTGATTACCATATGGGAGGATTCGACGATGAAGAGCACGATGATTATTATGGTCATGATGATCATGATCAAGATGAGCATGATGATAATGATGGCCATGATTACCATTATGATCAATATAATCATCCAAACATGGATAAATCTAATAGTCAAAATGATCATAGTCATCAAGAATTCGGAGATCGCGGTGAGCTTTCCCAAAATAAAGGTGATGACAGTCAAAATGTAAATATGGCTGATTTTGGTCGCAATCAACAGGATCGTTACCAAGGAGGCATGCAAGACTTCGCTAAGAGAGAGAACAAGAGTGGAGACTCTGATGGTCGTCAACAAAGAAGGCAATCAAAGAACAGACGGAGCAAAGGTGGAAAAGACGAAGAGGAAGACCAAGAATCAGGAAAGAAAGACAAACAACACAAAAGAAGAGGTCAGAGAAGAAGACAAAGCCAAGAGGATCAAGATGCAAATGCAAGTGTGAACACCAGCACCCATGCTAATTTCAGAGGCAGAGGAAACAATAATGGCAGAAGAAATGGAGGACAAAGCGCTGGTCATAGAAGAGATCAAGAACATAGAAATCCAAGAAGCTATTATTAATTCTATTGTTTTAAGAATCTTCTGGTGTAAATTGTGTATACGAATCTTTTTATTGTACAATTTCTAATCTTCCTTGCTATTAACTAGAGCTACTGTTGGATACATGTCTCTTAAAGGACTCCTTTCTCATAAATTCTCTGTCCAATGCCTATTTGCCCCTTCGCGTATATATTTCATTCTGGCCTGGAATCAGGAGTTATTACATGCTGAATAAATTTGGGGTTGGAAAAATTTCGAGAAATCCTGGGTTGAAAAGCAATTGTTCACCGATCAACAAGTAGTCTCCATGAGGCTTATTTATAAGTAATGGCTTGCTCAATAGGCCTGACTCGAGGCTTTGGGGAAGGTTTTGAATTATGCAAAATTTGGATTTTAGAGTTTTAGGCAATTTCTAAAGATTTCTTAGAACTTTGAAAGAGCTTAGAAGAATCAACTTAGTTTGCTAGTATAGGATACTTGTCTGATTTATATAGGCTCCAATGTGATCTAATGTAGTGACAAAGAAGATCAAGTTAATTAGTTGGGCATATTTTTTAATTGATGCAAGAAATGAAGGTTAACTTGATTTTAAGGTGTTTGCAGATGCCTCAACCATAGCAAAAGTAAAGGGGTTTTGGGGTTTTGGGGTTTTGGGGTTTTGGGGTTTTGGGG